CAACCACAGATAATGACGGTACTAAATTCTAAGCCAGAGAACAGTGGATGGAAATACAAGGGAAAATAAAATTCACCTCTGTAGGGTAGAGAAGAATCCATACATTCGAAATCCACACTCACTTTTAAAGTTTTGGTCTAGAATTACACAGCCACTGTGCCTTAAAGGCTAATCCAAAAATTTTCATCAAGGCATCTGGAGTTTTCCATAAGAAAATCTTAGCCACAGCTGCCTGTTTCAACAGCAGCCTGGCCAGAGGGTGGTGGGTCAAGTGAGAACAGGAGGAAGGGGAGACGCATAGGAGCTGCCGACATTTTGAACATGTGAAGGGGTGTGTGCTGTGTTCCTTCTGCTTATGAGTCATGAGATCAGAAGAACCAATTGTGAAACCTCATTTGATTGCAGTGTATGAGATATTTTGGGTCCTCATCACATGGACACCAGTGACCATCCTAAGAAGCCCACTGTAGGGCACAGACAGTGTCACTCAGATGGCTGGCAAGGGGAAGGAAGAGCCTCTGCGGACCTGAGAGACATTTGGAAGGAAGAACAAAATAGAATTCGTAAATAACTAGACAGAGGGAAGGGCTTTGAACCTGGGGAACAGGGAAAGAGACAATCCAAGAAGAGAAACCAACTCTGCACTCTCCCAGGAGGGCCAAGTTACCCCTCTAGGGGAGGAGGAGAAGGAAGGGCTTAGTGAAAGGCATGTAAAATTGAGAGGATTTGGCTGGAAACCCAAACAAAACAGCCAGTAACTCAGTTCCAAGGTGACCCAGGGCCTCTTAAGAACCAAGGCCTGGATCCCCCAGGGTTAGCCCAGGCCGACCTGGAGGCTGCAGCTGGCTGGCCGCATGGAGGTTTCAGGCCAACTCTGCAAACAATTCATTTGCAAGTGTGGACAGTTATGAGCTCCCAGGGTGGGGTACAGGGAAAGAGACTAAGGGGACCGAGGCCTTCGGAATAAGGATGTTGAAGGAGTTGGAGGGAAGGCACATGAGTGACAGGGCCTCAGGTCAGTCACCGAAATGAGAGGGCAGAGGGGAAGATGGGAGGGGCAGGAAGAGGGAGGCTGGGGAGGCTGGGGAGGCCAGGGAGGCCAGGGAGGCCAGGGAAAAGGATGGGAAAGAGGAAAGAGAAAGACCAGAACCAGGGCCCAGACAGCAAGAGGCTGCATACCCACATTTACGTCCATAAAGACTGTAAAACTGATAAAGTCACATTTAGTGAGCACAAAGGAAGAGCACAGAAATGTTTCCTTCATAACAAAAAGTAAATAAATTACTAGCTCCTGTCACACTGATTCATCTCTTGCATGTGGGTCCTCAATAAATGTTAATTGAATTAAATTAATAACATTTGCTCAATGGTAATAAAAAATTAATTAACTGTCCATCTTTCTGTTACTTAGTTTATGCCCAGTGGTTCTTGCAATTACTTCTAACCCAAATAGGAATTTTCTATTTCACTGAGGTTCATGATACGCTTTAATTTTTTTTTTCTAAGAACTAGAGAAGCGCTCCTAATTTTTGTCCTAATTTTGGTTTGTTTTTTTTCTTCTGTTGAAAAAAAATTATTTTCCCGAGTTAATGTCAAGAACTATGTATAACATCCCAAATATAGTTTCTAACGCCTTATTTAATTCCAAAATAGTTTTCTCTGCAGAAGATGTGCTGCCACTGTTCATGTGCTTCTCCTTTTAGCTTTTTCTACTTTAAGATACTTTGGGTACAATGTCAAGTAACACCGTAGAGGAAGGAATCTGGGGACATTATTGCTAGCATTCCGTCTTCAAAAAATGGAAGATGTCAGTAACATTCACCCAAAAACTGTGACTCCCTTCAGATGTCAGAATTCTGGGCTGAACAGACTGAGTTCTGGAATGTGTGTGTCAGATGATTCTTTAATGAGCAACAGATAGCTCCCCCTGGGGAGTGAAAAAAAATAAAAATATAAACAGAGAGATCGAATTAAAATAACTTTATGAATGGCAGTTCAACTTCTCCACAAAATCCTCTCTGCACAAGCCTCGTGTGCTCCAAATGGTTGCTTAATGTAGCACCACTTACATTCAAAATGCTATACTTAAAACTGTCGCAAAATTAAAAAGAGAATCATATACCACTTGGCTGTATGCTGCGTTCTCCCCGTGTTCTTACATTCCAGTAACCTCTATCCAACTTTTTTTTTTGTTACTGAATTACTTTGTGCAAAAGCAATTTAAATTACATGCAACCTGACTACGTGTGATAATTTGAACTGATTGTTAATTAATTCTATTAAGTAAATAGCTGCTTGCAATCTCCGCTCTCATCAAGGTTTCGTTATCTATCAGCTCTTTCTCAGCTGAGGTCTTCAAAACAGCTGTGACTGAACAGGCAGGTTTCCCCAAGTGGGCAAGAGACTAGTTTTACCTTGCAAACATCGCTAAATGAAATGAGGCTTCTTTCCAGGCTGGCTTTGGGGTAGGGGATACACTTCAGGACTCAGAGTGCAGGGGTTTTGCTGAAGAACAGCTTCAGCAGTTAGGGAGCCAAGGCGAAAGCTAACAATGAATCAGAGACATCTTGTGAAATGCAAAAGAGACAAGGATAAGAGCAAAGCTTTGGGAACCCACTAGCCCTAGGTTCAAATTCCAGCTCTAACACCAACTGATGAGCAGGCCTTGGGCAGATCACCTGGACCAGTGTTCTGAGTCCTGATTCCTCTCATTCATCTGTTAACTGCAGGCACCAATTTCTGCTTCAACCATCTGCTCCAGGAAGGGAGCAAGGCATACTCCCAGCATCACAGAGAACATGAGTACACGGAACGTAGCATAAGATCCACCAAGCTGCACGTGTGCATTCCAAACGGGGGCAATCCTGTCCCATAGGGGATGTTTGACATTGTCTACAGACACCTTTGATGGGCACAATCTAGGGGGACAGGTGCTATCCTTTGGGTGCTACTGGTGTCTAATGGGTACAGGACAGGGATGCAACTAACCATCGTATCTGGCCCAACATGTGGATCTTGCTCCAGAGGGTCTCACACTGTGTTTGACAGTCCATCTGCTTGTGATATTGGTTGGTTACTGGGGGCTTTGATATCCAAAGAAGAAAAACAACCTTATTTTCCTCCTCATCATTATCATTACTTCATTAATTTGGTGAATCCCTCTTGCATGGAAGAAGCCTAGAATTTCCCCATCTGTGGAGTCAATTTGATTTCAATATTCAACACTGTGCTAATTGCTGTCAACAATGGATGTTTCCCTGATCCCCATCTTTCAAGGGTGGATTAAACTGCAACCAAGAGATTTAAAACCAGCAACATACAGGGAAGGGAATAAAAATGAAGCATTTCTGAAAACCAAGGCTGTTTGGAAAATCATAAACAAAAATGGCCTAAGATGACTATATGTAGCAAGATGACTATTAGGCCTCCTGCCAGTTCTGAACCGCCAGAGAGCAACCATAGTCTGGCCGGTCTCTGAGAATCACTGACTCACATCTGTAGGATGTTCTCTCTCCTCTATTCACAAAAGTGGAAGGTCCCGGGGGTCCCCAAACTGGACTGCCTATGGGGAATTTAAAAAATCCTCCAGGGATTATGAAATAATTTATCTGCTAGGGAGGGAGGTGTCTGACCTCTAAAAATCAGTTCAATTTTTTAGATTTCTCAAGTGATTCTACTACATAGAAAACTGCAGAGATTTCCATTTGCCCCAAATGAAGATGCACCTTGGGATGGGCGTGGCAAGGATGCTTTCCTTGCTGTGAGCTGCATTTGAGTGGTGAATCATGCCAGGTTGCCAATCATCATCTTTGTTTCAGTGGCTCAGTGGGCACTAGGCAGTCAGACAGGCCCTGGGCTGGCTGTGGGAATGCCATTCCCAGAACCCACCCTTACCACTCCCAGCAGTGTCACCAAACTCCAGAATCATAGATGTCCCTGGGAATCCCCAGGCTGCATGTTGGAGAGGACCTTCTTCTGTTCCCTCTCTTACCCATCTGAGGACTCTGCTTATTGTGGAGGTGAGTTGTGAGCTAACTGCACCTCTGTCCGGCCTGGGCCTCACTCTGCTCTCACATGCTTAAAGGATGTGTCTCTTTCAGGCACTTCTGATCACTGTAGTGTGCATAGTCACTGTTTTGCTAATCTGTATCATGCTTTTGTCACTACCAGTACTCAGGTCCAACCTTGTACCTGTCACATAACAGACTCCAATTATTATGTAGCTTGGGCAGATTAAACACCAGAGCCCCAAATGCAAGAAATGCTGGCCTTCCCAGCTTCCTCTCCACCTCTTCAAATAGGAATCTTCATTAGGACTTTTGCTAGAAGTTCCTCGAACATCTCTGGCACTTGCACCAGCTGATTCCATGGAATAAGGTATGTCCCCAGGAAGCACACCCCCAAAGCCAGGAAGCACACCCCCAAAGCCACAGAGGTGATCACCTGGCAAGGGACCTAGCAAGTGCCAAGGCAGAGAAAGGGGTGGCAACAGAGCTTCTTAGGAAAAGAAGTAGGAAGGGGCCGTGGAATAACTCAACAAAACATGACACCACTGATAGAGGAAAACATAATAAAGGACCTGATTGAGGGCACACCTGTAACTCAGCAGGGCTGCCCAGCAGTTAAGACCTTGTCCCTGTGAATCAGATCCTTGGTGCACCACCACAAGGTGCTGATGACCTCCTAGGAGATTTGTTGATCTGAGGGAATGAATTCCTTATTTCTCCCTGCTCTTTAAAACAAACACACACAAAAAAAACAAAAACAAAAAAACCCAAAACCTGTAGTAGATATATGTGTTACAAATTAATGGGATAGGCAGAGCTTATAAAGTGTATAAAATTTAATGATTGTATTCTATTTTTAATTGTACTTTTTTCCAGAATAACCCTGCTCAAATACTGCTCCATTCTTGTTCAGCTGACTTTATTCTTATGTCCTAGAATGTGAACTCTGTAAACTACAGGAGGTTGGTGTGTGTGCTTTCTTTTCTCGTCTAGATGCGCAACTCACAAATGAAAACCATGCAGATGAGAAACCCATTAATGCTATGGTTATAAATTCAGTCTCTGAATTCAACATCACAGATGGACCAGCCAAGGAAACCCCCAATGAGAAAAAGCTGTCAGCATCCAGCACGTCACTGTCCTCCCTGGAAGAATGTCAGACAGAACGCTCCTACCTCCAAACCAACCCTTCAGAGCGTCAAAGAGACACGGAGGGTATGTCTCCCAGAATCCAACCCTTTCTAAATAAGGCGCCCCAGCCCCCAGCCCCTGCAAAAATCACTACATATGCTGTGAGGAAAAAAAAGTCTTTATGAATATTAAACAGCTTGACTTGGATTTGAAATCCCTGGTGAGTGACACATGTCAAGGTCACTTTGCAGTTGTGAGGTGCTTGGCAGATTGTTTGCTCTCAAAGTGGGGAATCAGAGGCGATGTATCTTACATAGTAGGGAGGGGCAGAATCGTTCTTATACAGGGCTGTGAAGTGGGCAGGGGAAAATGGCAGACATTGCCTTCTCAGAGATGGGATTATTCAGCCCATGGCTCCAGGCAGAGAGGAGAAGGCAGAGTGGACGGAGATGAAAATGCTGGAAGCACAGAAATCGAGGCGGTATCAGATACCAAGATGCTTGCGTCAGCTGTCTCTGAAGAAGGTTTGCTTCCCCTAGGTAATATCACTTTCCAGGCATTCTGATCAGAGAAACCTAGACCAAAGCACCCCAGGCACAACATAAAGGGCACATCATGTTTGCAGAGGCAGTTTCAAATTGATCTCTGCTCAACACTAGGCACCATCAAGTTCAAAGTCTCCGACTCCACCCCGGCACATACAGAGTTTAACTCAGGTCAAGGTTCCTGTGACCTTCAGAGGGACACATCCACTCCAGAGTTCTGCTTTCACGCTCTTGTGTTGCATTTAAAGGAAGGCTGGGGTTTCTCAGAGGAAAATGTAACAGGGTATTGATGTTCTCTGCCCTTAAACTCATATTTAATTTTATAGACAAGAAAAATTTTTAAATAAACTTAAAAGCCCATTTGACATCCCATTCATTTAACTCTTGCCTCTGACATTTATTCACTGTACAAAACTGGACACATTTTATTTCTTGTCTTCTATTTTTTAAAATCATCTTTGACTCTCAGTTTCGGTTACATAGCATTACATAGTAGGACTAGTAACACACCATGGCACCTTTGAGGATCAATGAAATAACATGTATAAAGCGAGCACACAGTAGGAATTCAGTTCTAGCTTTTGTTATGGTTTCAGTGTCAGAAAGGAAGAAGAGAGAAGACCCCTAACACAGGTTATCAAGGTGGAACTGTGTACAGATGTTGAAGTAGCTTCTTTAGGCTAGAAACTCTAGACCTGATTGCCTGCAGCTGCAGGAGAGATGGGAATGACAATGTGGAGAAGTGAACAGGTGCACCCATGGGACCAGGACAAGCCCGAGAGCAAATGTCACCTAAAGGTCACTTCTTCTACATGATTCCAGCTGATGGCTGCCAGAGGACACCCAGACCCAGAGTTAAAGATCTTGAAGCATTCCAAGAATAGCCAGAGATTAGGATGGGAAGTTTCTGAATTTCCCAGTGTTGGGAGCTCGTTCTATCTATTTGATGGAGTGCAAGACACTCCCACAGACACATCTTGGGGCTGACTTTGGCGTGCAGACCACAGTGCCCATCCAGAATCATGCTCAAGTTTCTAGCTTCGGCAGACGTGAACACCATTCGGGAGAACGGGCAAAGCAAAGGAGTTCTCTGCAAAAGCTTTGCAATACTGTAGCATTTTGCTGGGTTGTACCGGAAAGCATGTGTAGTGCTCCATGAGGAGTGTTAGCCTCATGGCCCCAGAGGTAGGAACTGCCATTCCACATGTCCACAGAGTAAGACTTCCGTCCCTCCCATCAGGGATCATGGGAGGAGAAGGACTGGCCTGCTACCATGATATCTGATCCCCCATGTTCTCAGGGCCAGGCCAAAATGACAGCTCCAATAAAATGGCAGTTAATACTCAAAAGCCTCCTACAGAAAAATAACAGCTCACTCTTGGCTAAAAAGAGCAAAGGAAATTCACAAGGATAAATGAATGCAGTGGTTCTCCAAAGAACTGGACTGAAGCCAGCACGAGCCCGCACATTCAGGCTTCAGCTGGTGGCACAGGTAACCACCACCCCCAACTTAGCCCCCGCCATGTGAAACATCTCTTTCATGCAGTGTTGACACCTGCACAAAGAGAAAGCAAACAACTCAGGCTAAAGACCCACGGACAGCAACAAGGAACTCATTATCTTAAACAGGAAAATCAAGAGTTAAGTCAGACGCGCTTCATTTTAGGGAATCTTTGATAGTAATTAATTTAAGGATGCCGAAATTGAGAACCGGGGTCATTGTTCGTACTGAGATAAATACAGAAATATCTTTCAGGAACAGCAGGGAAAACAGAAGGGAAAAGAGAAGATTGCATCCACTTTCGTGTAGTTTGTGGTTAATTTATCTTCAGATGTATAAACGAGTGCATAGGAATGGATGCTTAATTGCTAATATCTATTATTTATATACATTGCCCCACTTAAAGCAGGATGGAAAAGCCTCACACATGCAGATTCTGTGAAATGTGCCGCGTCCATTAGCGTGGTTCATGGTGTGTGCTCTGATGGGAGTTAAGAGGATCTCTACTGCACATCACAGGCCACGGGCTGCGGCACTGCTTTGTTATTAAATCGTGGTTCATCATGTGTGGTCCCTTCCCAGAATAAAATAGGAAAAGTACAGAGAGCTATCTGTACCTGCTTCTGTGTCTGGGTTCTTCTGATTGCAGAAGCATCCCCAGGGATAAGAAAACCAGGGGTACACATGGTATTAGAAGCCAGCTCCCTTCTAAAACAATCCTGAGCATATGCCTAATTGATATATAATTTTGAATTTGAGATGTCTCATTCAGGTGGAAGAGGCAAACCATAAATACAAGACACCTCAAAAGAACAGTCTTAATTACAGCATGGGCTACTGAATAAAATGATTACATTTTCTACACTGTAAATTTCATACAATTAAATATAGTGGTGTCACCTTTATAAAATGTTTCAATTTTATAATTATTTCAGTTCATTTGCTCAGAAAAAAACATAAGCACAGATTTACCAAGTATCACCCAAACCTAGTCATTCTGGTTCTAAAGAACTGACTCGGATGTTACTTGTGCTTGTCTGAACTTAAATAGATCTTGACATATTTAAATAGCTATTAAAATTGATAACATCAGGGATGATACCCCACCCAGAGAAAGGCATTCAGTCACTCTTTATTTATTCCTATTCTACCTTACAGACTTTTTTTTTTTTTTTAGAACTTAATATTGGGGGAGTGAGAGCCAATTTTTAGACTTTTCAATCAAAAACTTTTAGCCATCAGTGGGAGCCATGGGGTCCTGAGCCTCATTATGAGGGCAGTTGTGTGAAGCACAGGATGGTTCTAGAAGACTGGATCTGGACTGGCTTCACCTGGCCTCTGTTCTTGTGATGCTTTGCTTTAGGGGAGAAGGAGGGGGCACTGTTGGTTTTGTGGAGTCACTTCTGTAAGAACCATGTTCTTCTGCTCCGGAGGCTAAGACAGGAGGATGGCAAGCTCTAAGCCAGCCTCAGCAATAGCAAGGTGCCAACAACTCAGTGAGACCCTGTCTCTAAATAAAATACAAAATAGGGATGGGGATGGGGCTCAGTAGTCGAGTGCCCCTGAGTTCAATTCCTGCTACCAAAAAAAAAAAAAAAGGACCATGTTCTTGTTATTTGGATGAGATCCCTCAGTATCAGGGGTGTGCTTCTGAAGTTGTTTTGGGAACTACAGTTGGCAGCTTAGATGCCTCAGCCTGCCTCCACCTGATTGTGGCACCATGGTGGCAGAAGCAAGGTGCAGGCTGTGGTGGTGGCAGTGAGCCTGGGGTTGACCTCCAGTCCCTTTATGGAACTTCCTTGTATAATTATATTTTCTGCTTTACTTAAACATGATCCTTCCTAATTAAGAGGGACAGGTCCCCCTCTTAATCGACCAATAGCCAGTGTATGTTTAGCACCTCTGGAAGTTGTATCATCTCTCCGTATCCTTGGGGTCCGGGAGGTTCCCTGTGGATGTGAGAGGAGACGAAGCCACCCTGGGAGGGATCTGCCATGGCTTCTTGCTCCAGTCAACACCATTCTGGACTGTGCGCTGTAGGTGTCCAACCATCTTTCGCAAGAAGCAGGACAGCCTGCTGGTCACACTGACAGCAGCAATTACAGCAGACGCAGGGAGCAGTGGCTTGACAGAGGGGCTTTCCTGTGCAAGGAATGTTTGCAAAGGTCCCAGAGGAGCTTTAACGTTTGTAAGATGAACAGCGAGATAGCCCAGAAGCAGGGCTATGGGAAGGCCCTGCCCTCCTCCCGTGTCCCTGCAGACTAGGGGCAGGGGCACTGCACTAACTTGCAGGCCATGGCAACCAGCCTTACTGACAGGCCACCAGGGATGTGTTAGCCACAGCCTCAGGGACAAAAGAACTCCAAGGGGAAGGCAACGCCCAGAGCCAAGAGAGGGTGTGAGGAACACCCTGGGCTCCCCTCCTCCCAGCTTCCCAGCTCCTCCTACAGCCTCCATGAGCCCAGCCATGAACGTCAGAACAGGGAAAACAGAGGACAGCAGGCCGTTGGTAAGCGCAGCGTCCTGCGCTGTGCCCAAGACAGGCAGGAGAGAGCAAGTGTTCAGAGGGCTGAGCTTCCTGCTCCTAGGCTCTGGGTGGGACAGCCTCCAACACACTCTCCACCAGTCCCTCCTCTGTAAACAGGGAAGGTAACACCACCACCCCCCCAGTGCCTTTCTGAGGCCTGTGTGAGGTGCACAGAACAGGTGGAGGGATGCAGATGGGCCCTTGGTGAATCAGGGACCCCTGACCATGAGACAGAGGGCACAGGCTTTAGATCCAGAGGGATGAGACAGGCATCTCTGCTCTACCACCTTAGAATCGGGAGGACTCCGGGCCCTCAGTGCCAACACCTGGACCATAGTCCTTTCACTGAAAAACAGGGATCGTAAAGCTTCCCACTCAGAATCAGCCATGGAAAAGCCTTTCCTACCTCCTGTGATGTGAAACCAGCTGACAGACTCGCTAGGTCAATGCCATCTCAGGGTCGGGCCGTGAAGGAGAAATAAAGCAGGGGCTGTGGAAGGTTCGGCAATGGTGTGGCTTCCAGCGTTTTAAGACAGACCTAAAGGTTTGCTCAGGAGTTGGGTACAGCTGGGGGAGGGTGTGTGACACATCAGAAAGCTCAGCACACACACGGGTCCTGAGCTAGGCTCAGCTAGGCTGTGGTGTGGTGAGGATTGAGGAGAGCAGGTCCTGGGGTCAGGAAGGAGGCAGAGGCCCAATGATACGGGGCTTTTAGGCTCTAGCAAGCCTTGGGGACTGGGGGAGGTGGTGGTGGAGTTTTCTAATGTCAGATTACAAATATCACAGCTGCTGAATCTGAAGTGGGCCCCTGTGATTGCAGAATGTCCTCCAGAGGAGACCTCTGGAGATGGCTGATAGGGCCAGAGCTCAGACAGTGGCTCTGCAGGAGGCAGAGGCCAGAGGGAAACAGGGAAGGATGCAGGGGTGCCCTGGACATGGGGGAAGCAATAAGAGAAAGGGAAATGGCAAAGAGTGCCTCCAGGTTCCTGGAGAATTCACCTGGGCATTCAGGAGCCACTCCTAAGAGAAACCAGAGGAGGGACAGGTGTGTGGGAGGGGGGACGAGGGAGGCCTCAAGGCAGTGAGGCCTTGGCATGTGAGATGTCCTGCAAACACTGAAGAGGTGTGATGTAGGCCACAGTGTACGTGGCGTTCCTTCCTGGGGAACAGCAAGAAGGGTACGAATCACAGGATGTGACTCTGATGTCAATTTACGGAATGTGAGAGGGCAAAGGAAGATGACCTCCTTCAGGTGCAGGGAGACCCCGACACCCTTTCCAAACAGTTTGCACTCTTGTCCTTTGACCCATTTACATGAATTCTGTGTCAACCAAAATTGGCTCTATGCAAAACAGTTTTTTTTTTTCCTACTGGTGAAGATTTATTTAACACGTGATTTAGGAAAAGTACAGAACAAGCCTGAAAGTTCGGAAAAATCTGCTTTCAATTCATTAATGTTACCTTGTTTTTTTTGTTTTTGTTTTTGTTTTTGTTTTTTTTGTTTGTTTGTTTTGGGCAAGAGGCTCTGTCTTTTATAAGCAAATAAAAAGGACTGACTTAGAAACAGAAAAAAACCAGCGCTACTCTCAAGTGCAAAATAGAAAGGGGCAGAAATCCAATGCCAAATTGGCCAAATGATTAGGCCAAAACTTTCTTTTTCTTTCTCACTCTCTTTCTCTCTCTTTAATGAATAAAATCTAAGATCTGCATCAGAAGCAGAGATGTTCAGAGTCTGTCAACTTGAGGAGACGTTGGCAAGTGTGATTGAAGAAGAATATGTGCCCTCAGGAAACAATGAGGCCCCCATCCTCACGCTACCTACCGCGAGAATCACCAGATCCTCCCTCACGTCAGTCCCCCTGCCTTCTGCCCTCCTTACTCCAAACCCACATTGAGCCTTGTATGCATAAAGCCCAGGGTCCCTGGGGTCATTTTTATACAGTCGTAAGCCTGAGTGTGTCTCGTGAGCCTCCAACCCAAGGGATCATGGAGGACCTCTTGCCCAGGGCTGCTATGGAAGCAACCTCAGTGCTGCCAAAATTCATGAGGTCACAGTTGCCACCCGCTCTAGAAAAGCCAGTGCAAATAGAGTCCGTGTCCTGTTATTAACTCACTCTCGAGTTTCTGCGGGTGGTGGGTGCTGTTAGGACTGAGATGGCCACTTGCTAGGAGCCAGCCAAAGCTAACGAAAACACGCCCAGGCTGGCAAGAGATGAGCACCCACCAGCAGAGGCACTGTGGAAAATGCAGCCTAACTATAAATACCACGTAACGACCACCACACCTGCAGCAATATATGGCAATTAAAGTCATCGTAAAAATCATGGTGTGTTTTATTTTACCACCAGCTCACTGGAAAGGAAGGGGGCGGTGGGAGGGAGCAAGGAAGATCTCAGTTTATCTATACTCAGGATTCGCTTTGGAGTGTCAGATAGTGCTTTCACAATACGTTAAAACTACTTACTTTATAGCATTTGCTCCTTTTCTGAAAACGTTTACAAGTTCATAAAAGAGAGCAACCTTTTCTGGAAAAGTAGGTTGGAAGTAAATGGACAGGGCAGAAAGCGCTGCGATTTCTTTGTGGGGGGCAGGGGGTCTCTTCTGCATGCTCTACAGTCCCGTCCATCCAAGTCTGAATACCCGAAAATCAGTCACATGCCATTGAGAAATGAGATCCTCATGAGAATCAAAGCTTGATCAGTGGATAAGCCCGTCTGAGGGGAATGTTCTGGAAGCTGACTCCGAATCGTCAGCAACCTTCAGATGACAGATTTTGATTAACTGGATGACTTCTCCCATGAACACTTACCTGCCTTCTCCAAAGAAGCTCACACATGTTTGAGGCATTGTAAACTTGAAAATAGGTTATGATTTTAACAAGAGAACTGTTACATCTTCAACTAATTCCCTTTATGGAAGTCAAAAAAATAAAATAATCTATAACCCGTTGCAGCTGTTTAGCTAGAATTACCAATTACCTTCAGTGCTGCAGAGATACTTCCCAGATTTTTGCAAGTCTGCATAGTAAATTTTTAAACCAATTTTCTTAAAGAGGACTGATAAGATTTAAAACCTTTTAGACCTATGACGACGTACTTCACTTAAACACTTGAATAGAAAATCAAGGCTCTGCAGAACTGGAGGGAAAAGGAGACAGGAACTAAAAATGAAACACAACCCCAAAAGCTGTGATTCTTTTAAAAAGCATTCATATTAAGTTTTGAAATGTGCTTTTCGGTTGCATTTATGGGTGTGGTGGGTTTCCTGGAATCCACGGTGGAACACATAACAAAGCGTGGTGACAAGAAGTGACAGCTGGGCAGCCTCTCCTGTGCAGCTCTTGAGGCTCCAGCAAAGGCTCTGCTATTTTTCAAAACAGCTTCATGGTCTCCAGGTAGGTAGCTAATTCTGTGGCTTCCTAGCACCTCTGTAGGCAAAGTCAGTAAAGGAACAGAGAAAAGGGATAGCATTTTAAATAACCTGATGATGTGGAATCAACAGGAAATGCTCAGGAGTTAATAAAGCATTACTTCAGTAGTGACAGTGGTGGCATGGGGGGTGGGGCTCAAGTGGGCCAGGGTGAGCTGTCCCCTGGCATGGACAGACAATCAAGAGTCGGCTATGAAGCCCACTTATGCGCCCCTTGCTGATGCCCCCATAGGTGTTACTATCCATCTTCCTTCTTATTTTATTTTTGTTCATGTGCAATAATAATTTTTATCAGCCATTATTTTAACGGTACATATTTCCAGGTACAGAGTAGTAATTTAGTGCACATATGAGGATCAGAGCTGGGTGGTTAGCAATTCCTTCTCCTTAAACACTGAACAGTGATCCCATTCTCATGTAGTAATGGCATCTCCTTCTTTCAACAGAGGAGTGTGCCTCGCTGATCCTCGCCTGTCTGTTCTGCCAGTTTGGGGACTGTCTGCTGATGCTTCCTGATACCTGTGAAGCGGTGTGGACTGGCCTGTGCTGCCCCTCTCATGGATACCACCATGCCACGGACGAGGAGCACCCGCGTGGGGACTGCAGCTGCAGTTGTGACGTGGACTGCAGCCTCTTTGAGTCCTGCCACGAGACCAGCGAGTGTCTGGAGCTGGCCATGGAGATCTCCGAAATGTGCTACCGCTAGCGCCACCCACCCAGGAGCCCCCACAAGGCCATCAACGGGAGGGGAAATTCCATTGCAAAGAAACAGGGGTTTCCATGTGCCCAAATGCAGGGCTGTATTGCAGTTCTTGGATGCTTGGGGCCATTTCATTCTGCATCTGTCTGGGAAACTTAGCAGGGTCCACTCAGTGGTCTCATTCCAATTTCACAAACGCATGGCTTGCTGAAGAGTAAGCGTCTCAATCGATGAGATGAACAAATCGTGAATACCTCCTAAAGGCCATAGGTGTGCGATGCTCCTTGAGTACCCAGTAGCATGCTAAGCTGCTCTGTGCTCCTGCACTTGGCCTGCTTCATGGATTCAGCATCATTCACAAATTCAGGACAGATTAGTGCTTTCTTTCAGCATTGACATACATTAGCTCGCCTTTCTAATGGATTCATGCATAAACATTATGCATTGTTGGTTATTATTAATAATGTATTGTATAACATCATTTTGTAATTAAAAATTTATTTATACAGTCTCTTAAAATTCACTTATAGGTACAGTTTAGGTAGGAAAGGGAATTAAATGAATTAGAAACCATGTTCCTGTAATTACAACAGATGTCTCTGAAGCATCTCCAGTGAATTCTGAATCTCGTATACACTTCAGGAGGGTGCTGATCATCCCAGACCGTGTTATGGTGTGTGTGTGTGTGTGTGTGACTATGTCATCCCAGGCAATGATATTCTCGATTTGTTCCAGAAAGGCTTCTCTTTATTCTAATAAACCTAAATGGGAACAACGTGCATGTTTGAAGAAAATTATCTCTGATACTTGATTATTCCTTTTTCTCATTTCTGTCAGGTATCATAAGCAACAGGATATTAAAACAGAATCAGCTTATTTTATAAACTCTCCTTTTTTCACTCATCTCCCCATTTTCTCTAGTATTTTATTTTTTATTTATTCTAATTTGTTATATATAACAGCAGAATGCATTTCCATTCATAGTTCACATACAGAGCATAATCTTTCATATGTTGTACACAACATAGAGTCACACCATTTTGGTCTTCATACATGTACTTAGGGCAATGATGTCCATCTCATTCTACCACCTTTCCTATTCCCATACCCCCTCGCTTCCCCTCCCTCCCCTTTAGTTCATCTATTCCTCCCATGTTCCTCCCGCCATCCCCATTATGAATCAACATACTATATCAGAGAAAACATTCAGCATTTGGGTTTGAGAGATTAGCTAACTTCATTTAGCATTATATCCTCCAACTCCATCCACCTGCAAATGCCATGATTTTATTCTCTTTTAATGCTGAGTAATATTCCATTGTGTATATATGCCACAGTTTTTTTATCCATTCATCTGCTGAAGGGCATCTAGGTTGCTTCCACAGTTTAGCTGTTGTGAATTGAGCTGCCATGAACATTGATTGATGTGGCTGTGTTACTATAATATGCTGAATTAATAAACGGGATAAACTCAAACTAGAAAGCTGCTTCTCATCAAAAGAAACTATCAATGAGGTGAACAGAGAGCCTACATTTTGGGAGCAAATTTTTGCCACACACACATACCAGATAGAGCACTAATAACTAGGGATATATAAAGAACTCAAAAAACTTAACATCAAAAATACAAACAACCCAATCAATAATTGGGCTAAGGAGCCAAACAGACACTTCTCAGAAGAAGATTATACAATCAACAAATATATAAAAAAAATGTTCAACATCTCTAGCAATTAGAGCAATGCAAATCAAAACTACTGTAAGATTGTATCTCATTCCAGTCAGAATGGCAGTTATCAAGAATACAGACAACAATAAATGTTGGTGAGGATACGGGGGGAAAGGCACACGCATACATTGCTGGTGGGACTGCAAATTGGTACAACCAATCTGGAAAGCAGTATGGAGATTCCTCAGAAAATTTGGAATGGAACCACCATTTGACCCAGCTATCCCACTCCTCAATCTATATTCAAAGGACTTAAAATCAGCATACTCTAGTAACAAACTCTCCTTTTAGTGGCACCCAAAAGAAACACACACAGGTTCCTATTTAGCCCCAAATTTCCTAAGAGAGCATGTGTTTCAATAGCCAGATTTCTTCTTTGTGCTAAATTGATAAATATTGAATACTTCCTTATACTTACAATGTTTTCTTTAAAATATTGACATGAAGTGGTTTTCAACTTAATGAAGACAAAAAGTTTGCAGGGAAAGCACATGGAGTTTGAAGTCACTTTGGAATCTGTAGGCCTAATTCTTTAGGTGCAAGGAGGACAATTTCTCATTAGTGCTTCTATATCCCCTGGAGACAGCATAATCATTGGATATCAAGAAGCACAAGGCATCAATAACCAAATGAAGAACAGGAAAGTGAAAGGGAGAGTTGAAAGAGATTTAGGTATTGTGCGGAAACGAGACAGACTTCAAAGCACATTTTTTACCCTGCCTTGGGTACTATCAGGAAAACCAATGCTTGTTTTACTTCTACAGTCATCTAGCACATTTTTCCAGTCTGCAATAAATTCCCCCAACATTGAAAACTATTAACCTTAAAAGTATATTTTTTTCAGCTGCCTCCAGAAGGTATTTAACCTCCCTTGAGTTGGCAGGGCATGTGCGGTCAAGGCTGGCCTGGCTCCTGTTGACTGTGGCACTCGCTGTTCACGAATATAGAGCAGGAGAGTCCTCAGGCCCTCCTAGAGGCTCCATCCTCTTGCCTTTAGAAAGCTCAAAAACACCTCTATGGTACTCTATGCTCAGAACTTGTAGATGATGAGCAAAAGAAAAGAAAAACATTCATAGGACAGGAGGCAACCCAGGGTTACTCTTCTCCAACATTCTCACATTTTGTGCAAGAAAGAGGAGGCCCCAGAGCTGCCGGGCAGAGACCACACAGGGGGCCAGGCTGGGTGTCAGCACTCTAACTGGGAGTCTGATTTTCTGACCACACAGCCTGCTCCTTAGTTCCCTGTGGGAGTCCAGGGACACACAGCAGACAGCTGCAGCCACTGAAGGACAACCTACCAGACAGCATCCTGGACAGCAGTGACTTGAGCCCCCAGCCACCCTGGCCGTCTCCGGGCTCCCCCTCCACTCACCGGACAGCACTAGAGGAACAGGCCTGTGCCCACGGGGCCTCTGCAGCCCTGTGCCCACAACACGGTGCCTGCCATCACTGATCCGGCCATGGCACACTGGGGTTACACATTTCCATCATTGACTCCTCACTCTATCTGACCCTCATACCCTCAAGTTATGCAAAGCTTGTGCATTTTAAATGTGAATTGAATGCCTGTGGACTAGAGACATAAAAGCCACCAGGTCTTATTTTACACCGTGGTCAGAACACTCCAAAATCTTTCTGCGGCCTCCCTCCACGGTTTGTTAACTTGCACCTCACTTTCAGAATTCACCGCGCTCTCCCAGAAAGGGTCGGTGATACAAAGTGTGAAATTTCTTTTCTTTATAACCAATAATAAAACATCATCCATCTTGCAAACATGAATGACTGTTTCAATTGAATTTTTACATGATAAAACACACGCAGCTGGGGACCCGCAATTGTAGGGGTAAGATCAAAAAAGAATGCTGTTATTGATTAAATACAAATATCAGGATCTGAGAAGACTCGTGTATTTTATGTCACTTGTGATTAGTAATCATGTTGTTCTTTAAGGTGGGGCTTCCCAGAAAATAGAGCATTCTGATTGAAGGAAGAATGCTCGAAAAAAAGACACCTGAGAACATACAACCTGTACAAGAACTGAGAACACAATTTCTCTTCCCCACAGCAACAGAACCATGGAGTTACATTGTCTCTGCTTGACTCAGTGGATTTCTATAAAGCCAGTGCTTCTCTAAAAGCCCCCCAAATATGGAAAGCAATGAAGAAATGAAGTTATGTTTAATTTACTAATGAAATCTTCCCACTACATGAGCTGATACAACGTTAATTATGAATGCTGGACAATCAATGTTAATAGAGTAAAAGTGGCTTCCACTTTTTCCAAGGGAACAAGAAAACACATCCAGGCAGAGAAACGTGACAAACAGGAAACATGATGTGAAAACATTCCAGCATTTTTTCCCCAAGCATAAACATAAGTGGGAAATTGTGGGATAGATTTCATTACCCAGTGCTGGTTAGTTTCCCCTCTACAAAATGAAAGAAAGAATAACGTGCCATGGTAGCTTTTCTGTCACTGTAACAAATACCTAGGATAACCAACTTATAAAGAGGAAAGGTTTCTTTCTGGCTCATAGTTTTAGAGGTTCCAGTCTATAATCAGTTGCTCTTGGACTTGTGGGGAGGCAGCACACCATGGTGGGAGCATATGACAGAGCAAGACCACTCACCACGGGGCCAGGAACTGCAATGGAGAAAGAAGAAGGGACCTGCCATCACTTTCAAAGGCATGCCCCCACCCAATGTCAGAAGACCTTCCATGAGGCTCCACTCCTTAAAGGCACCACAGCTTCCCGAGAGCACCATGCAGGGGACCAAGTCTGCAGCACGTGGGCTGTATCAGACATTCAAGATGCAAAGCTCTGCCGTGCACTCTCAGGGACGGGCTCTTATCCGGCCATGCCACACTCTAAGGGTCATCCAACGCCTGGTCCTCAGGCCCTGGAGACTGGTGGCCTTTGATGAAACTCAGACACTTGGCTTGCTAGCTTGAGGGGTGTTCTTTGAAGAGGAGACCAAATAAAAGCCCACACTTGCCACACTCAGCTTCACGTGGGCTGGGTAGAGAGGTGACAGAAGAGAAAAACGGATGACTTACTAGGGATTATAGGACGGAGACTCTGTTACTCCTCAAAGTGAGCTCTAGATGGCTCCTAATATTTGAGACAGAGCCAAGGATGCAGGAGAGGTGAGGAGCAGGGTGCAGCCTGCTGCATTATGTGAATAGAAGTGCCACCTTCTGGTCGGCCACCTGTATGTGCCAACTGTCTGCTTAGCCACCAACTGTGAATCAGTGGCTCTCACCTGGGGGCAGTTT